CACTCCGAAGGGATGGGTGGAGGGAGACGGTATTTGGGGTCCCCCTTCCCGGGGTGCACTATATAATGCATATATATAAACATGACATATATATAGACATATATATATATATATATATATATATATATATATATATATATATATCCATTCACGAGGAAGGATTAATTGATTTCTGTGAAAGTGGGATTGTGCTTCTTGGAAGGGTTTGAGGGGCTTTCAAGGTAGATGGGTTGGGGGGGGCTTGAGAGGAGGGTTAACTGGAAAGTGGGGGGGGCTGAAGAAGGGGGGGCTCAGAGATGCCCTCAGCCTGGCACCAATGCTGCTGCTTCTCTGCTGGTTTCTGGGCGCTAGCTCTGCCCAGCTCTCTGTCCCAGTTTTTCTCTTTGAAGATATTTTGAGCCTCACCTGGACAGAGCTAGGAACGCCATTTCCTTCCCTGGAGCCCTGCCTCCCCCTCCCCCGACACCCACCTCCTCTGACCTGCTCAGGGAAGGAAAGACACAAACAAAAGACTTTGGGAAATGTGCTGTAGTGTGTGAAATGGAGGCTGGGCACTGCACACATAGGGAGACCCCTTTGGCACCGCTGGGTGGAACAGCTCGGCAGGTAGATGGCTGGGGGGGAGTGGTCAGGTAATCCCTGGGGTAATGTCTAGGAAAACCCCAGGCTGGGCAAAGATTAAGCTGCCCTCCATGCGCTCAGAAGACAAAAGGCTAGAGAGATTTTTGTTTGTTTGCTTGCTAGCTTTTGTTGGGGTTTGCTTGCTTGTTTTCCTTCACCCTGGATCCCTCTACTTGTTCCCTTGTCTCTTCCCAGGTTTTTGAAGAAGGGAAACTGAGGCAGATGACAGGTTATCTGGAGATAGTTGTGTCAAGCAGGGAGGGGTGGCAGAAAGGAAAATACATTGAAGTAAAAAGAAAAAAAAATCCTCAATTTAAGGTTTATCTTTGTGTTCTGTGGATGACCTTGGTCCAAAATGCACCCTTTTGCCTTTATTTGAACCTCAAGTTTCTCATCTATAAAATGGAATAGAGCTGGGAATGTAGCTTAGTGGTAATTGCCTAGCATGCATGAAGCCCTGGGTTCCATTCCTCAGTACCAAGGTGGAAGTGATACTTTAGCTCAAGTGGTAGAGTGCCAGCCTTGAGCAAAAGAAGCGCAGGGACAGTGCCCACGCCCTGAACTGGGCCCCAGGACTGACCAAAGAAACAAGAATAGTTTAGCCTCCAAGTTTCCTGAAAACAGATGTGTTACAGAAAAGTCTGTGAGAAAGACTCTTATCTCCAATTGATTAATCATACACAGGCATGCACACACACACACACACACACACACAAAGCCAGAAGTAGAGTTGTGGCTCAAGTGGCAGAGTGCTAGCCTTGAGCCAAAGAAGCTCGGGGCCAGCGCCTAGGCCCAGAGTTCAAACCCAGCACGAGAGAGAGACACAGACAGACAGACAGACAGACAGACGGAAAATATTGGATGCTTGTAATCTTTACCACTAGAAATAGGCTCCTTCTCTATTCCCTATATCTTTGTGAGAATTGGAACGAGAACAAGACAGTGTTCACCCAGCTAGCAGCTCCAGGTCTTTATCTGGAAAATCAGAAGTGCAACTTTACCCCATGTGTTTCTTCCAACAGCTAGGCAAATGGGATGTAGGTTTATTCCCAGCTCTCACCGACCCTTAGGTGAACATCCTGGTTCAGGACACATCCTGGTTCAGAAGCACAGCTGTCCCTGGCAACAACTCTCAGCAGGCCCCAGGCATTTCCAAGAGACACAAAACTCCATATCCTTCCAGGCACTTTCCAGAGATGCTCCACTCCCAGGCTACCTCCAGCCTATCTTTCCTGCCTTGCCTCTTTAGGGGCTTGGGATTTTCAGCCCCAAAAGCTGTGCCCTACTTTAGAGCATAATGGAGTCCTTCAGTTGGAGACTCCAGGGAGTTAAGCAGTGCCTTCACCAAGCTCTCAGACATAGGAATTTAAGAGTCTCTAACCCCGTAAGTCCAGAATGTGATCAGATCACTTTTCCCATGGCCAAGAACAGAAGCCTCTGCACACCTGGGTAGCACTGTTCATTAATGACTGCTGTCTCAGAGTATCCTTCCCATAAGCTTGGATGAGGCCCTCCTCTATTTACAGAGATGAAACCATTCACAGAGAGGTTAAGTAACTGGTCTAAAAAGCCAGACCTTGGTGGCTCACTGAGATCTCAGGATGATGGTTCAAAGCTAGCCTGCCTGTACAGCAAAGTCCATGAGACCTTTATTTGTTGTTGTTGTTCTCATGAGTCTTTTGTGGGGTTTTTTGCTTGTTGGTTTTAGTGTCAGTCGTGGGGCCTGGACATTGTCCCTCAACTCTTCAGCTCAAGGCTAGTGCTCTACCACTTGAGCCTCAAGGCCACTTCCAGCTTTTTCTGCTTATGTGGTGCTGAGGAATCAAACCCAGGGCCTCATGCATGCAAGGTAACACTCTATCACTGAGCCACTTTCCCAGCCCCCCCCCCCCAAGGAGACTTTTTGTCTCCAATTATTTCACCAGAAAACCAGAAGTGGAACTGTGGGTCAAGTGGTACAGTGATAGCCTTGAGCAAGAGGCCAAACCCTGAGTTCAAGCCCCACGACCAATAAAAAAATAAAAGGAAGGAAGGAAGAAATTGGTCTAAGGTTTCACAGCATGCTAGTGGTTAAGAGTCAGGACCTGATCTTCAAATCTAGGTGTCTGACCACTCCATTCCACCATCACTGAGAATAAAGCTGCTGACTTTGGTGTTGCCAAAATACAGCTGGAATTTTGCTCTCGCTTGTCTATCCCAGGTAGCCCTGGCTCTGTTCTGCCCCTCAGGGACCAGCTCCAACCAAAAAGTTCACCTTCCCTTACTCTGATTTCACCAGGGAAGGAGTTACCGTAACTCTCAACAGATCTCCCCTCCTCTGCAGGGAGGATGCTTGTGGAGTTCAGAGGTCCATGTCAGAGTTGAGCCTTGAGTGGGTAAGAGGCCAAGAAAGGGGTCAGGGAACAGCTGCCCAAATGGGACTTAAACACTATTATGGAGGCTGCTGACACAGAGCCAATGTCTGCTGTGAAGGGAAAGGCCAAGGAGACACAAAAATGCAGCAAACTCAGAGACCCACTGGGCACTGCTCTATACCTTTCACCAGGGCCCCTGGATGCTAAGGGACAAAGGGTGAACCCAATAGGCAAGACTGTAAGTCTTTTCAACCACAGCATTTCTACTTATCTTGTCCTCCCCCTTCCCTCCCCGCCTCACCCCCTGGGTCTTAGGGCTTGAACTCTGTCCCTTTTATTCAAGGTTAGAACTCTATCACTTTGAGCCACAGCTCCACTTTTGGTTTTTTGATGGTTAACTGGACATGAGTCTTGTAGACTTTCCTTCCCTGGATGGCTTTGAACTGAGATCCTCAGATCTTAGCCTCCTGAGTAGCTAGGATTACAGGCATGAGCCACCAGCACCCAGATTTGTCTGCTTTTTTTTTTTTTTTAGGCTTGTGAGTGTGTGCTGGTCTCAAAGCTGAACTGAGGGCCTGGATGCTCTCCCTGAGCTCTTTTTTTTTTTTTGTCAGTCGTGGGGCTTGAACTCTGGGCCTAGGCGCTGTCCCTCAGCTCTTCAGCTCAAGGCTAGTGCTCTACCACTTGAGCTACAGCGCCACTTCCGGTTTTCTGGTGGTTTATTGGAGATAGGAGTCTCACGGTCTCTCCTGCTCAGGCTGGCTTTGAACCGCGATCCTCAGATCTCAGCCTCCTGAGTAGCTAGGATTACAGGCGTGAGCCACCAGCGCCCGGCTTCCCTGAGCTCTTTTGCTCAAGGCTAGCACTCTACCACTTGAGTCACAGCTCTGCTTCCGGTTTGTTGGTGGTTAATTAGAGATGTCTCATGGACTTTCCTATCCAGTCTTGCTTCAAACTGTGACCCTCAGATTTCAACGTCCTGAGTAGGTTGTATTACAGGTGTGAGCCACTGGTGTGCAGCTGGTAGCCTGAGTGTTAGATTAAATTAGACTTTGCCAGAAAACCACATTGACATCCAGGTACAAAGAACAAAGAAAGGTTTATTGCTGGGAAAAAGGTCGGCAAGACCCCTTCTCACAAGGAAGAAATGAGAAGAAGCGCCAGTTATCGCCTGAGGTGACCTACTAAGAGGGCCAGGAGGGGCTAGAAGGGGCTAGGAGGCGGAAACTCTGGTGTGGACATGTGGGCCAGGGGCTTCATCATGGCGGACTAGGATTTATGGCCGTCCCAAAGTAGATAAGGGGCCCTGCCACTGCCCAGACCTGAAGGTCACTCTAAGGGGCTCTTGTTGCCTTATATGGTGGTAGCTGCCCCAGAGAAGTGCCATGCCATGGTAAAGGGGAGTTGGAGGCTGATGATTTACTGCCTTTACTACATGGGCCTGGTGTTGCCTAGGAAGGGAGCATGGCAACTGTGGAGAGGAAGGAGTGGACTAAGCTATGGGAAGGGAGCTCATTTCAATAACACAGGTTTGTGTATACCAACTTACAGGAGAGAAAGGAGTTTCTGTGCTTACAAAAACAAAAATGTCTGGAAACTCTCTGGCCTAATCCAAAGATTCTGGAAGTGGGGTCCCTTGGCCAGTGGCATCAGTATCACTGGGAAAACTGTTAGGACAAGCAAATGCTGAGGCTCCATTAAGGAACCTAGAGAGTCAACTCTGGGGATAGGACCCAACCACACGAGTGGTAATAAGCCCTCCAGGAGACATCCATGGAGACACCCTCAACTTTGAAAAGCACTGATCCCGTCTAAGTGTCTATCTAAATTGTGGGTCAAGGACAGCGATAGGGGATGAGAACCCATATGTCCCCCAGCCCCGGGGGTGGGAGGGGAAGGAGGGAGGAGCCTGGGAGGCTGCCCCCGTCTCACCCACCTGTCCTTGTCCTCTTCTCTCTTCCTAGACGCCATGCTGCTGCTCCTGCTGGGCCTGCTAAGCCCCGCTGCCTGCTGGGCCCTGGGCCCGGCTTTGGGCCTGGACGCCCCTGAGCTGCGATCAGCCTTCTCGGCTGCGCGCACCACCCCACTGGAGGGCACATCGGAGATGGCGGTGACCTTCGACAAGGTCTACGTGAACATCGGGGGCGACTTCGACGCGACCACGGGGCAGTTCCGCTGCCGCGTGCCGGGCGCCTACTTCTTCTCGTTCACGGCCGGCAAGGCCCCGCACAAGAGCCTGTCGGTGATGCTGGTGCGCAACCGCGACGAGGTGCAGGCGCTGGCCTTCGACGAGCAACGGCGGCCCGGGTCGCGGCGCGCCGCCAGCCAGAGCGCCATGCTGCAGCTCGACTACGGCGACACGGTGTGGCTGCGGCTGCACGGCTC